GGATTTTAGGGTGTAAGAGGGGACACGTGACCAGCCGATGCCAGGGCCTTTTCCCGCCCCACCCATTTTTTAAGGGAAAAGCCCTGGGGACGAGGTTGCATTTAATTGAGCTCCGGTTTTTAATCGCATGGAATATACATGCATGATTCATTTTCTAGATCCTTGCTATAACAGAAAACTAACAAGGGGTGGGGGGGGGGAGGGTAGGAAGAGAGAGTCAAGGAAAATCTTTCCTGGAAAATGCAACGATTAATCTTTGTTTTAAGATATGACAAAACACAACTTTTCTGGTGTCCTCTAGTTTGCTGAACGCCCCCCCTCCTCCTCCCAGAAAAAAGCAGTACTATCAAGCATACCGTGTTCTGTCGTGAATCGCTGAATACCTGTACGAAGACAGAATAGCAGACCTCAGCAAACGTTTGAAAGATGAATGCCCACGACACACGAATCACCACGTGGGTTAGGGCGTCAAAGTGAGGCAAAACATAAGCAAGCGCCTCAAAGCGAGGCAAATGTGTGTCGACACAAATGCAATCTCAAAAAAAACCTCCCTTATTAATTGCACAAGACACCCAATAATGCACAGAACACCTAACAGAAATTAGGGGTTGCATTCGAGGTAAGTTCGCTGACGTATTTTCTTTATTTTTTTTATTTTTCTTTATTATCCGTGCATTTATATTACTGCTAACAGACACAGACATCTGAGCTCAATTTTTGGTTTTGGCCGCAGGTGTTTAATAAAAACAGTATTAAAGCTAGACTTGTTTGGTTTATTTTAGTGAAAGTTCCTCCTGGAAGAAATGCTATAATTACGCTTTGTTCAAGGTTAGTAACCTGATATCAACACTTTTGTCGTTTAACGGTTTTTAATTTGTCGTTTAAATAACGGTCCTGTATATAGCGGTCACCTTTTATTATATAGACACGAGTGTTTTACTGGAAAATATACCACTCGTAAAATTCATGAAAACTACATCCGGGACCCGAGTGGTTTTTTTCCATAATCTTACACGTGAGTTTATCGATGACGTAATTTCGATAATTTCCCTCCAAAATTTGTAAGCGTCTTGCGTCCCTTGAATTTTAATTACACATTTTTCAAAGCTTTTACTTATATTTTGTCATTGTAGAGCCCTATTCAGCTCAGTGTTATTTCTCAAGATGATTGTAAACAATGTCTTCTATTGCTGTACTGTAAATTTGAGCCGTCACAATTACTTTTTGCATTGGCGAATAAAAATCTAATATTTTATCGATGTCTTTTTTTTTTTATCTATATAATAAAAAGAACATTACACGGCGGCTTGAAAACATGAATTTTATTTTCTCGTGGCAAAAACGATATTTTACTCACTCGCTGCGCTCGTTCGTAAAATATTGTTTTGCCACTCGAAAATAAAATTCATATCTTCGCACCACCGTGTAATATCCTCTATGTATCGTACGGTCACGTACCGGACAACTTCCCAAAATTTTGAGTTGCCTTTAAATATAATATAACGGTCACCTTGCTATTTCCCGAGGGTGGCCGTTGTACACTGCAGGTTTGACTGCATCTTCCTCCGGCTTAAGCAAAAATGTCGCGGATAAAGCTAGTACTTGAAAGTACTTCAAAGTGTATAGAAGAAGAAAGTCAAGTAAAATTATTTCCTCCTTGTGCCAATGCGAACACATGAAAGCGAAATAACATTTAGTGGGTGATTCATTTTTTTTCTAAGAGTTCGGTGTAACATGCACAATTCCGTGTGAGCAATTCTGCCCCTTTTGCATTGTCTGAGTCATTTTGTTTGACATTTGACGGTTGATTCAAACAGCGGAACTTTTTATTGCGCGCAGCTCTCAACTAGTAAATGCAAACTAAGACAATTTCAACGCACCGTTTAAACGGCAAAAGGGAGTTGTTAAAAATGACTAGAGGAGATCCTTATAATATATTTCGAACGCAACATTAATTCTTATTTAAGAACTACCCAAGCGATCAAAAAGGAGTGCCGTTTTTGTGTTTTCCGTCAAATTTTCAGGTTCTTGATACCACATCAGACATCAGACATCAGACATGCCACATCAAAAATTTACTGAACCTTAATGAGGAGTGATGAATGGTCCATTAAAATTTTTGACTGCTCGCAAAATTTAAACGAGTGCTCGCTTGCTCGTGTTCCCAAAATTTTTGCAGTTGCTCGCATGCTCGCAGTTTCTTGTCAGTGTTGCTCGAGATTTGTGAATACTTCTTAATGGTGCTTAATTAATTTCTATAAATATGGCTATCGAGTTCAGTGGAAATGCACACGATAAATGACAACGATAATAATAAATTAGCTAATCTAGCTATATATGGTTAAAAAGAGAAGATATTGCTACCTTGAGTTTTTTTGAGTTTCTCTACCGCTCTACTGACACTGGGCTTTAATTAGGCCGTGTTTTCAATAAAAACGGTTTGGAAGCTTTAATTTAGGATTCTTCCAGAAGAGGTTGTTCTGACACGAGGATGTTGTTCCTCTTCAAGTTCTTTTTCAAGTTCTTCTTTCTTCAACGCCCCTTGTACGCTCGAGACATTCTTCGTATAGTAGTTGGTTTGAATCGATATGAAAATCTTCGTCTGTGAACTGCACTTCCCAAACGGTTCCAGTCGCAAGATGTTTCTCTACCTGAGCGGTACCGATGAACTCGTAATTGAATGTTAGACAATCTTCGGGATCGATTGCGTACAGGTGTGTTTTTACTTTAGACGAAGTTCTCTTAAGGTTTTGTGCAAGCTTTCCTAAAATAAAAGATCCACTGATCTCTTTGAACTTAGCGAAGAGTATCACATCGTCTTTCTAAAATATTTTATGTTTTATTTTTCTTTATTTATTTATTTTATTAGCTTTACCCTGATGAATACAAAAAAACTGAAGATATGCAAATACTAGTAATAAGAACGTAACAATACACTAATAATAACTTAAATAATTTGGGCAGGAACACCGCAACAGCTAAAGCCAATTACTGCGGACCCGGATTTTCATATGGATTGCTGCAAACGGAAAATAACAAGTGCTCGCTGCTCGCGAGTTGTACTCTCTAAACTTCTCGCTGCTCGCAAAGGAAATTTTTTATCTCTGCTCGTGCTCGCAAAAAAATCGCAGTCCTCGCATGCTCGCGAATGCTCACAAAGACCATCCGTCACCCCTTTAATGCATCGAAAATGAACAACAGCTTTGGCGAGGCGAGTTCAAATAATGCACCAGGCCTCGGTTGTTCAAAAGGTGGATAGCACTATCCACTGGATAGCGCAATTGGTTTCCCTAACACTTATCCGTTGGATAGTGATTTATCCGGTGGCTAGCGTTATCCAACTTTTGAAAAACTGGGTCCTGAAGGACAGGATAAGCCGGTTCTTCATTCACGGCTGACAAAATGATATGAAACGTTCCACCTAAGCATTAGCATTAGCATTAGCATTATGTATCACTGTGGCCCTTGAGATTGTTTGAATTAAACTTATTTTGGTTGAATCATTTGTTGGAAGATTGATTTGTTTCGCGCCGAATCTCTTAACTGTCAAGTCAGAAAAGTCAAATTACACTTGAATACTCTGTGAACTTTGCGTTCCCAAAAATTCATTTCATATGTTGCCCAAAGTTTTTGAAAGCATATTTTGAACGCTTAGAGACTGGTTTTTAATGTGGAATGTCTTTTTGTGTTTGAAATCATGTATCGGATGTGATTTTAGGCCTTTGAAATTTGACAATATTTTGCTCGCGTAAAGTCCTTAAAATTTTCTAAATACTTAATGCATAAAATATTCCAGTTGCAATCAATTCGAGAACATAACCACTCAAAATGTGTATTAAAACCCGTTTAATACGATAAGAAGCTTTTTGGGTTGAATGAATTTGATTCAAATCGTGGTCTTTTCGTAGCCCGGTCTAGAGGCCAGAAAAAGCGGTCTAGCGGAGGCCTTTAATCGCCCGCTGTATCGCCAAAATATTTATCCAATGAAACTAAAATTTATATTTTCATAACTAGAATACCTAGGGTAGTCTACAGAATTTGGGGGGGAATTTTTCAAAAATCTTATTTTTCCCACCTCTGGTATATATTTACAGACATCCGCTCTTAATAGCGCAAAGACGTGTTAGAGTTTTTGTGTAAAAAAAAAGTGTTCGTTCGTCTTGTGTATCATTTGTGTATTTTGCGCGACGCAATAATAGCTGTAGCTGTAGTGAGTTTAATTCGGATTGTTCAAGAAGGTGAACTCGACGCTGATTTACTCACTCAGAAAAGATACATCCAGTTAGTGAACTTAATTAATGAACACGTACCTCAAAAAGTCAACAAAAAGAAGTAAACGGCTAGCATAGTGTTGAAGTTTTATGGGAAAAGAAATTCTTGCCACCCTGTCACAGTTGAGAGGCTAGGCCATTTACGAGTTTCCCCAAGCCTCTGTTTTAAAGCAAGGCTAAGTGCAAAGCAAGTGATATGAAAATGAGTCCTTATTCTGATGAAGATTAAACTCATTATCACAAAAAGGTTTTGCTCTTAGCCTCGTTTTGAACGTTGCGGTTTTTGGAACTTAGAAGTGACCTATTGAGCAATGAGCTCATGCTGAGCTGCATTGTGGGATTCTTGTAAAGAACAATCCTGGTTATGCAAAGATGGAGTTCTTGATGAATTATTAGGCTGATTTAACAACAGAACGGGAACGTCAGTTGATAACGGGAAAGCGCGCGAAAAGGGGACGTCCTGTGCACAATTTGCCGCTCTGCCATTGGTCCAGCCAGTTGTTTGATTTGCGAGCGCCGTCGTCACCTGACGTTCCCGTTCTGTTGCTAAACCAGCCTAAAGTTCCTTTTCAAGACTTATAATTATTACAAAACACGACAATGTGTTGTTACAATTCACGACAGCTCGGCTTATTACAATTTACGATAGCTCTGCTAATTGTGGGTAACATAGACCTAAATTATTTGACAATTGAATAAACTGTTGTTGTTGTTTTGGTAGGAGATGACATGACAAGCTCCACAAGTAACACAGGCGATATTCCCACAGATGCTCTGGCTGAACCGGGCCCTGATTGGCCAGCTGCAAAGAAAATCTGGGGATTGGCATGGCAACTGCACTGGATTGGCTTCGGTGTTCTGTTTGGCTTTCTGGCCGTTCACTCTATGGTTGTCATAGTGATGGTGAATATAAGGAAGAGATTTTGCCGTAAACCTTTGTTTCTAGCTATCAACTTGCTCCTGTTCTTCCTTGGAGCTACGAGAGCAGTGTACATGCTCCTGGATCCGTACGAGTCCAGGGAAAATGGAGTAGAGGATCCTAAATGGTTGACGCTTCTTCTCTTTGGTATCGCCTATCCGTGTTTAACATCCGCGTTTTCTTTGATACACCTGGCTTTTCTTGAGATCACCAAATTAAAAGCTGGCCCAAGCAAGTTGCAGAATGTTAAGTTTTTATCTGCAGTCATAGTGCTCCACTTTATTATCGTCTTCACGGCCGAAACAACATCATCCATCAAGCCCGAGCTTGATGCACTGTTGATAGTGTGCCAGTCATTTTTCATCCTCTGGAGCCTGTTACTTTCAGGTAGCTTCATCTACAGCGGCTGCAAATTAATAAAACACGTAAACCAGGTTCAAAAACAGCTTTGCATCATCGAGAAAGACGAGTGCTCAAGAAACGCAAGACAGAAGGCGAGCACCACCAAAGTCGCAAAGATTACTCTCATTACCAGCCTCTTGGGCCTCGTTGTGTGCGGTTTGCACCTCTACTCCATTATTGGCGTGTACGGTATGTACAGCAAAGTAGTTCACCCCTCACCTTGGCCATGGCTGACTTTTCAATCGTTTTGCCGCTTCGTGGAACTTGCCATGGCGTCCACCATTGCTTACAGCGTGATGCAGGGGGATAAAAGGCAGAGAAAAGGAAAAACGGTCCCTACTAATTCGGGAGAGAAAGTAGAGCTAAGGACTTTAAGAGAGACGCATTTGAAAATTACCGATTTTACCGAACCAAACTGACTTAATGTCCTTGAACTTCTCATTGAGAAACATCCCTTTAAGGAGATATAAAAGAACGTCAAACTTTAAGTTAAAACGTATATGGAGCAGTGTGCTTACAACGTAGCCTTTAATTAGGAAACTGTAAATGTTAATTTGGTGGTAGTAGCAAAAGTAGTACTTTAGTAGTAGTTGTTGTAGTTGTTGTTGTTGTTAAAAGGTTGGAAACAGAAAACGTAGGTCACAGACCGCTGAGTGAACTGATGGAGAGCACTGATCAGTAGCTCAAAGCTAAGGCAGAAAGACAGAATTCTAAGAATTTGAATCAAAATGAAGTTTAATTTATCATACTTTTGATAGCTATTTTTTTCTCTTTTTCCATATCATATTCGTTCCTTTGCGAAAAAGTCACCATCGACACCTTTTCCGCAGAAGAAACCAACTCAAAGCAAAGGTGTTAACAAAAGAAAGGAATTTGTATGAAATTTTCCGTGCAACCAGATCGTTCTTGCTTTATATATTGAGTGCGCTAACTAGAGTACATTGCAAAACAGCCTTGTGAATTGAACTTATGTTAATTATAAAATAGAATAAGTCAGAAATACAAGAGAAGTTGACGCTTGGAACTATGCTTAACTCTATTTTTTTCTTCACAGTAATATTATTTTCCCGCAGGCTTGCGGGTTGGTGTTTTCTAAAGAAACATGTCCATTTTCGTCTAAGTTTACCATTTATCAAGCCTTTTTTTCGCGGGGTCTGCGGTATACATAGTCGGAGGCAGTTAGTCAGAACCTTTTGTCCATTATCTTTACAGAAACCTTGCAAGGGGTGACGAAATTATCTCATTTAAAAATCATGGAAGAATATTCCTTTCTTGTAAAACCAGGAAATATCTTCGTCTTCGTTTCTTCATGCTCTCAGGAACCATGAAGGAGAACATCAAGAAAAACGCAAGAGGGTCTGCTTTTGTCCCCACCTCCTTGCTCGCAGGTTGCTGTTAGTTGTTTAAAGCAACACGTCAAAGCCACGTCAACAAAGACGTCTTCCACTTGGTAATTATGGTGACCCTTCGAGCAACCTGCGTGAGTCTTAATAGGTAAGACAGCTTTGTGTGGTTTTTAAGGAAGACCTTTGTCAAGGAATTTTTTCACAAAGAGCTGACCTCGATTTTGAAACCCGGTCACTGAATGAGAAGCTTCAGAGATGCTTCAGATATATAATCAAGAAGTTCACGTTCTTGTTGCTTCAAACGATTAAAATTATCAACTCTTTTTTGAACAAGACATACAAAAATAATGAAATGCATCCCATCATTGAAGCTATTTTCGTTTATTCTACATCGTTACTCGTCTAATTAGACACATTATTTTATTGCGATATATATTCACAGATCCGTCGGATTCATATTAATTAAGAGTGTTTTCATATGCACTGACGCTAATTGCTCGTGCGAACCTATAGCAGTTTTTGTTTTTTGCATATAAAACATAAACTGCGTATGCCCTGTTTACTTATAGTAAATGGTAAATGTACAGCCTTTTATTCTTCAGAGTAAAAGCAAAAATGTCAAAAAATTGTGAAACAATTGTTTTCTGTTACTGATTATTTTCACCTTCACCGAGTCCCTTGGAGTCGCCATTTTGCCATTCTGTCTCTATGGGTCTTAAATTAAAGTCTACGTGTCAGACATTCCAAAGGGAAGAGCTTGATTAGGAGAAACCTTCTCTCTTTCGCGTCCTCGCACGTCCGATCCCCCCCTCCGCCTCTTTCCAACGCCGCGCCTGCGACTCATAGCAGCGCCAGATATACATGTATATGATGGAAGCTATCAGATACTCCAGGGCCTCGCGCGGTGACATTTAACAATTATTCCTCGCGCCCGAATTGGCTCTGAGTCAATAACACATGAGGCCGAAGGACGAATGGGCTATTGACTTAGAGGCCATGAGGGCGAGAGGAATAATTGTTTTAGTAAGATCCAACTAGTTGGCCAAGAATAAAAATTTTTTAGCTAGTTATAAAGCTAGACATTAATCCTTTTTTGTTACCCGGCGCTTTTTGCTACTAGTGGGCTATAACATCTAGCCTAGTAGTAGCTCAACCAATCAGAACGCAGCTAATAGATAATAGACCACTAGTTGGATTTTAAAACGTCATAGTCCGACAGAGGCACCCAACGTCAATTTTAGGAAAATATCTGTTCGGAAGACGATTTGAGATCTAGAATTTTCGGAACATTTGTTGTACAATTTCTTGCTTGCCTGCCTCTCCTAGGATTTTCGAACATCTAAAAAATGGTATAATTGCCCATTTTTAACGGATTACCCTGAAAAGGTCACCTAGAATTTTCGAGAGCTTTTTTTCTGGCTGAAATTTTCGAAAAGGTAACTTTTGATCCCTATAATTTTCGGATCACTAGACTTTCAGCTAGGAAATCCGAACAGATGAAAAATTTTTAGGGGATGAAAATATGCCCATATCTACCGTTTAAATACTAAACTACGTTCAACAATGTTATGTTTAAGTGGTTTTGAACTATATTCTCGTTGGGTGCCCCTGGTCCGAGATATCGAACCGATCAGACTGCTTGAATCACCAAGATCACTGAGTGTGTATATACTAATTTCTATTGCTTGTAAATGTTTATGTTTTTTTTAATTGTGGAAGCCCCGGAGGACACTTAATTTCTATAACGGCCCACACGTGGAGGCTCTACCCAGAAGGGATACCTTTTTAAGGCTGAATATCATATAAATATCAGGTATACGAAAGGGATTACCGTACGTCTTCTGTCAAAAATTTTATGTAAAAGGATAAGGAGTTGGACCGCAGGGCAGAGTCTCTTCGTATAAAACATTGTTGGGTAGCCCTCCAGGGTAAAAGCACACTCAGCTGGTCTAGCTACAGTAGATTATAGACATTCTACTAAAGTGTGATTATAAGTAAATGATCCTGCCAAACGAAACAACTGAACATCCCACAGCTACTAAGTAGCCATAAAGCGAATCAGTTGGCTACAAGCTATAAAACTGAGGAAGTTCACAGGTTGAGCTCGAAAATTTCGAGAAGAAACGTCCGTAGGGCTCAAAGCTGGACTAGAGTCCTGTACTGGAGAGCTGATTCAGTCGGCTACTTTATCTTGCTGATAACAACGGACAACCATTTGGCTCAGGCCAGATCAGTCTCTATACTGTAGCCGGTATCAAGCAAGTATTAAAAGCAAAGTTGATTGCAGCCTAGGCATTTTAGACGAGGTTTTCATAAGGTATAATGCTATCAAACGTCACTGTCTAGAAATGTGAAGTCGAAAAACCACACGATGGTACAGGCTTTCCATCTTCCTTGCTGCTCGACAGAATTCTTTTGGAGTTCTTTCCTCGTTCGCCTGGCTGCATCACACTGTAGACAATGGTGCACGCCATGGCAAGCTCCACGAGACGAAAGGACGATTGAAAAGCCAACCATGGCCAAGGCGAGGGATGAACTTCTTTGCTGTACATACCATACACGCCAATCATGGAGTAGAACTGCAAACCGCACACAGCAAACCCCAGGAAACTGCTTGCAAGAGTAACTTTGGCAACTTTGGTTGTGGAAGACTTCTTTTTCGGTTTACTTCGTAGACGCTCGTTTTTCTCAATGGCTTTGAGCTGCTCGTGAACTTTATCTACTTGTTTTATCACTTTACATCCACTGTAAATGAAACTGCCAGAAAGAAGCAAACCCCAGAGAATAAAAAAAGACTGGCAAACGATCAAGAGGGCGTCTAGTTCAGGTTTGATTGATGCCGTAGATTCCGCGGTGAAGACGATAACAAAATGGACTATAATGATTGCAGACAAAAACTTGACATTCTGCAACCTGCTTGGGCCAATTTTAATCTTGGTGACCTCCAGAAACGCCAGGTGAATCAGACAAAACGCTGAGGTTAAACACGGAAAGGCGATGCCAAAAAGTAGCAGCGTCAGCCATTCGGGATCCTTAACACCATTTTCTCTGGACTCGTATGGATCCAACAGCATGTATACCGCTCTCGTAGTCCCAAGGATGAAAAGAAGGGAGTTGATGGCAAGAAACAAAGGTTTACGGCAAAATCCTTTCCTGATATTTACCATCACTATAGCAACCAGACAGTGAACTGCCAGAAAGCCGAAGAGAATACCGAAGCCAATCCAGTGCAGTTGCCATGCGAATCCCCAGATTTTCTTTGCGACTGGCCAATCAGGGCCCGGTTCGGCTAAAGCTTCGGTGGGCAAGTCAGTTGGGATGCTTGACACCTGTGTCATGTCCTCTAAACTCTGCGTCATTTTTCTGTAGATTAAACATGTAATATAAGATAAAATAAGCCAATTCCCACAGAAAATCCAAATCATCTTACTCGGTGAAAATGCCTGCACTTAAGAAATTTAGGACTCGTCTTGGATTTAATATTTCTGCGTGAAGACAAACTCATAGCACAGACAAGTGATACAAAACAGAAGATAGCGAGAATTGACCGCATCAACGCTCAATCGAAAATCTACGCTGCATAAATGTAAATGCGTGGAAAACGCTCAGTATATCCCCAAATCATTCTGATCACATCACCTTTTACTCATCCACTAATCTAAAGGGCCGTGAAAAAACTATACATGAAGAATTGAAACATCTTCTCAGCTTAGCTGTATTTATAAGCTTGCCATAACCAAATTATGAGCTCGGAGATTTCTATTAGCATAACAACACTCAGCTACTACCAGTTCTGAAAACAATACAAGTGAATTCTGTTAGACTCTCAAGAGTAACATGTATAACATAACTCCATACAGCTGCCATGGCAACTAGTACGCGACATATTTCGATTTATAGCGGTGGTTAGCTCGAAGACCACTGCACACTTCCCTCAAACCATTTACCTCTGTCTTTTGTACTTTTGTTATTTTATGCCTATACGCTCAATGTAAATTTTATATTAGGTGTGAATAAACTGGAACTTAACTCAAACTGCAAATTCTACCTGCGGTTCTGCCATTTTCCATTTTTGGGACCGAAGTACATACCCTGCGCCAACCATTTACGACTTTTCGCCTTAATAGAAGTCCCTGATTTATTTTAAGGCTGCGCTTCGATTCATCAAAAAAATTGCCAGTTATTGCAAAATTTCAGCACTCGTGAATAATACATGCATATACCAAGTGGGAGGATGGAAATGACCTTCTACTAACACATTATATAAAGTAAGCCATTTGACTGTTTGCAATAGGCAATCTGCTAATCTGCATCATCCACCGTTTTGCGGAATGACGTACGAAAACGGCATGTCTTGGGTGTTTCGCCACTCATATGGGAATTTCTCCCAAAAACCAAATGAAAAAATGGGAAATCAAAACTTCATATAAATTGTCCATGAAGAAAACTTAAAATTGGAACGGTCATATAAATCAAGCGGGTGATCAAAACCAGCGAAAATAGAGTTACCAGTTATTAACTCCGCTTAATGCACACCACTGAAAGGGCTAAACCATTTTAATTTAACGTTAGGTTTAATAAATTGGGTTCACGGGAAAGACGAAAGAATATCAGGTTACGTTTCTATTTTGAGTCAGTTTCAGACTTACCTGCCACGATTCAGTTCCTTAACAATTAATGACACCTGACCAGTGCACGCAAGGAACATATATTTATTTTTCCACCGTCACGTGAAGATAATGAGATGGAACAGAGGAAATGGCTTGGAGTATTGCCAGTGTAAATAGCGAATAAGGCACTCACGCGGGAACAAAAAATGACTCAGCGGAACCCTTTCCTCAAGGAATCAAACATTTTGCACTCGGGAAATGCAGTGCCAAAGTGAATGGTTGAGACAAAATTTCCGCAGCTAAACTTGTATAAAGGAGTGCCAAAGCAAATATTGAGATTTTCCCACTGGCATGATGCATAATAGTAAATCTCCAACAGAAAACGTGATGTACTGATACTTTTTCATATTCATTAGTTTACCAATTGTAACTACACTGTAACAATGCCAGTTGATATTTACCGAATTAAAGGTGCATTGCACAGGAAAAATTACTACCCACGACCGAACGTAAAGTTCGCTAGACGAGAAAAATTAAATTATGTGTTTAGTCCATTATGACAACTTTTTTTTTCAAAACTTGTTAATGTTCTCCTGCTGACTTGCTTACGTATTTAGCAGATCACTGCCTGTAGCGCTTTTAGCGAAGATGATAATATTTACAATATCACATAAAATACCAATATACTTGCCTCTTTAAATGCAGTAGAAGTTCAAAAGACGTTCATTTAATAGGTCACAAAATGCGCACTTCCCCCTATATTTTGAAGGTTATCTTGTTGCAATCTTGAGTGAGCGATAGGAGAATTTCCTGAAAACAAATTTGGCCCTCTCTAAGAAGGAAAAACTCTGTTGCGTTTTAAATTATTGAAAAACGTTTCAGTGCGCCCACGCCTTTAAAAGAGGCAGATGCTAAAAATCAAATTGCTAATAATTAAACATCACTCTTTTGTCCTTTCTTCGAGTGAAAAGTTTCCCAAATCAAACAGTATCTCTGTCCTAAGAGAGATCTAGTCGAGGGTGGAAATCTCACGATGAAAACAATAAAATGAAATAAAATAATACGTTTTAACGTGATTATAGCGAGAACAAATACAAGGTAAGTTCAGCTGTCCTTTGTCTCCTAGACAACCAAAAGAAGTACGTGAGTCTTTTGTATACAAAAGACAGTTGGAGTTTTTCACCTTGAGATTAGATTGTAATAGATTAGAATTTTGTTCTAACATCAATCCTTTTTTGTCGAAAATAAATATGCGAATTGCAAATAATTTAGAAAAAGAGTAAATTATTATGAATTTGCCTTATTCATAGCCTGTCTAGGCCTTCCTTGCAAAATGTTCACAAAAATTCATTAGAAATAGCTTCAGCTCAATCCTAGTGATTTTCTTGTCTATTTTTAAGGCATTTTCTCCTCCAGCCTTTGAATTACGCACTGTTACACAACTGAAAAGGCATTGTTAGGGATCGTGAGAACAGAGTCATTTTGCTCATTTTGCAGTTAGCTTCTAACGCTTTCTTCTCGAAATAATTTATAATAAGCAAACTGTTTGCAGGGATCCTAGATTGAGTGCTTGGCCATCCATCTAAAAACTGCTGTGATTTTGTAATGTGTTATTTGTGGTTTCTTTCTTTGGCCATTTTAATTAGGTACCGCCAACGTACACGAAAGACTGAATCCTCAGGGACAGTCGTCTTATCACAACATGCGATGAAAACCTGGGCGAAATTATCTGCACTTATTTGACGTAGCAAAGTTCGATTCAGAAGTTTCTTTAATTACCACTAACACATGCAAAAACCTGAAAGAATATCAAATTACACCTATCCATTAAATGAATGAGTATTTCACCCTGAATTCGTAATGATAAGGTGTAATTTATTTTAATTTCCGTTACGATGATGGTTAACCGTATTTGAACTACGATGAACTCGGTTTTCTGGCTGGCAACTTGAAGTCAGATAAAGAAAAAATTTACAATGTTACCCAATGATTCCAGCCTCTTTTTTACGTTCTGATGGAAGAAGAACTGTTCCATTTCTTTCTTTTTTATGCTTTATAGAAAACTGTCCATTAATGGGATAGCAACTACGATCAGCATTGCAGTATTCTGCTTGCAGAATTTAATATGACTAATATGTCTACTTGTCATTTTTCTGATCAGGTCTTTATAGATCCTACGTTTTTCGGCATATTCGTTTGCGGTCCTTTGCAGTCCTTTGTGGTTACTGCGCTTTTCACAAACGATATAACATGGTACTGTCACTTGCTGTCACTTAAGCCACAGATAAATTATAGAAAAGCACAAATTATAAACCCTAACCATGCGGTACGAATTCCTTGATTCGCAGTTGCAGTCAGGATTTGAAAGACGAACCTAGGGTCGATTGTGCAAAAAAAGTAAAGCATTTAAATTTGAACAAATTCGATTACTTAAGGAAGTAAGCTTACCCCAGACACAAATATTATTCCAGACGTTTCCTCGTCGGTTTCTATAACGTTTTGCAAAGCCCTCGAGGTTATAAAACAACCTAGTTATCGCCTGGTCGGTGGTGCAAACTTGCACCACAAATGAGAAATACCGCACTTCAAGACTCGCTGACTAAATTTAATAGGCCTGATGGCAAATGGTAAGATTAATGCCAATATGATGTCACTTTGTTTTCAGTTGTCATTTATGAGTCGTTTAGCAAATATGTCTTCGTTAAGTGTCCAGATAATTTAAAAGCAAATCTAAAACAAGCCAAAATATTAATCAGACTTATCGCTTGCGGTACTTTTCAAGCAAAACAAAAGTTCAAAAACCGTATTTTTTTTTTGTTTCCTTAGCAAATGGCGTTCTATTTGTAAGAATGTAATTACACGCAAAACTGGCCGGGATAGTGAGATAACATTTCGCTGAAACTAAACTTCAAAATTTACACGGAAAAGCTGTGATTTCAAAACCTCCCCTATTACAAGCCGATCAATGAACAATTCGATTTGGCACAGTAGAAAGAGAAATAGAAATCAGCTAATGGTTTTTTAATGGATCCGAGATCAGAGGTCACCTGCACGCAACGACCTAGCAAACGAAGCTCCGTTAGGGTGGTGTCCGTGGTTCTTAAAACGTCAATTAAAAAAATCTGAATTTCTAGGCGAATTACCTCGGGTCCAAACCAGCGAGCTATAGTCTTCTCAGTCTTCAATGGCTTGAATGTCGATCTTGAATGGTTTTAAGAGTGACTGAAAGATTCCCAATTAAAAAAAACTTCTGTTATAACAGTCATGAAAATTTCTACTTCCCGATGTACGATATTGCTCATCCCTTGTTCATCTCTTATTCCTTATTTCTACTTGGGCGGAAGCATCCAGTCCGGCAATATCGGATCGAGAGATAAACACGCAATGAATAAAGTTTGTTTTCAACCGTGATCTTACATCTCAAGTAGTTTTCAACAGCAAGTCATTTAAGATATAGATCGTAGCATTTATTTCGACTGTTAGTTCTGTCTTTTTCCTTAAGCGTTTTGGTTGAATAATTAGCAGTATAATTAACTGAAATTTCCGCCTTTTATCACAACTGAATGGTTGAGGAAAAGTTGAAATCTCGCTCACAGGCTTAGTTAGGGAACGGCTTAGAATTGAAAGTATATCAGCTAGTCAGAATATCGGCGCAATTTCCACTGCCTCAAATCAGAAGCAAATCGCTCGGAAGTAAGATTGGTTATCATGTGTATTGTCTGAGATGTCTGTTGTCAGTCAAAGTAATCACTTTCTTTGAGACTTTTAGTGACGCTTCAGAGACGCTAATTGGAAAGTTGATCTCGTGATGTCATTGGAAAAGTTATCTCTGCTATCGAGTGCTTTGTTTAGTCTTTGAGATTTGAATAAAGGAAATCAAGGAAGACAAATGCAGTACAAATTTGCTTTTAATTAGTAATAAATTTACCTGTATTCTGTCGTAATCCTACCAGTGTTAACCCATGTTATTAGGTTTTCAAAAAATATTAAAACTTGCTGCTTTAATGCAAATGCTATCTAGTTCAGCCAAAAGTGCGCCTCTACAAGTTTACTGTCTGCTTAACTGCGGAAGTTGGAATTTGTCATGGTGGACCACGGATAGTAACAGACTGTCAACGTCTATTGTCTCCGCCATTGTCCATGTTTTGCGGCTTCGAAGGTTGCATCACACTGTAGGCTATTGTACAAGCCATACAGAATTCAACCAACCGAAAACACGTTTGAAACACCAGCCATGGCCAAGGAGAAGGCGGACAGCCGTTTTTACCATGCATTCCATAGACAACGATCAATGAATAAATTTGCAGTCCACAACTAACAAATGCCAAAACACTTGTTGCGAGAGTGACTTTAGCAACTTTTGATATTTTTCTTGGTCTTTGCTGAATTGCTCTTCTGGCGCTGTTTCCAAGTTCGATTCTTTCGAGTTGGTGTTGAACTACCATGGCTTGACAAATGACTTTCAAACCGCTGTAGATAAAGCTTGCGGACAATAGAAGGCTCCAGAGGATGAAAAATAACTGGCAAACAAGCGGAAGTAATGGCAAGAAATCGGGTTTGATGGCAGTTGTTGTGTCTACAATTATGATGATTGCAAAGTGAATTGCAATGATACTACCTAGAAAGCGTAGATCGTGGAGCTTATTGGGCCCAACCTGTATCCTTGCCACTTCAATAAAAGCCAAGTGAATCAAGCAGAACGAAGATGTCAAACAAGGATAGGCTAAGTCGAAAACCAAAGTCGTTATCCAGCCTGGGATTTCAATATTATTGGTCGCCGACGAGTATGGGTCAAGAAATAGAAACAAAGCTCGCGTTGCTCCCAAAGTAAAAAGCAAAAGGTTTATGGCTATAAACAAGGGTTTTCTGCCAAATCCCTGCCTGGTTCGAACTTGCACTAGAACGAGAAAAGAACGCACTGCTAAGACACTGAAGAGAGCCCCCAATCCAGCCCAATGGAACTCCCAAGCGATGTTCCAATACTCTCTCGCTTTACTCCAATCAGGAACTGGCTCGGCAGCTGGCGGTCTTGTCGTGGATTGAGTAGAGTTTGTCGTTCTATTTAATTGACAGTTCAACATTATCTGCAATTAAATCAAGTCCGTCAATAATGTGTTATATTAAGAAGAATGATTTTTGAAACTTTGCAAGACGGCGATCACTTTTAGGCTTCTTCGATCAAATCTATCCCGTTCACCGCCCTGAGTGTTCACTGACGATTCTTTGTCCAGTTTTAACTACAAAAAAGTTTTTAGAAAAACCTTCTAATAAATGCCTTCCTCACAAACGTCCACAGTATCACAGATATCAAGATATATACATAATTAGTTGTATTCAGTGCTAAAACTATAATCAAATGCTCGACAAGCAACAAATACAGCAAGTAGTTAAATATAAATGAATGCTCAGCCACTTACAAATAATGCTTCGTTCTATCACTGTCCTTATTAATAATCAAAATACAATCCTCAAGAGATGGCAAGTCAACTCTCTGGTAAACTTAACTCAAGCCATCAAACTTAGCACTGGCGGTACCATTTCATCTTTCAGTGTCGCTTTATAGTGATACAAAATAGCCGGTGTTATAAATAGAGTTTGAGTAATTATCGTCTTCATTCAAACCACTTTTCAAGGATAACAAAGGCCAGAAGCAAACTGACATGAACCCGGAAACACCCGGCATCCTAGCCAGAGCTCGACCTATTGTAGCTCAGTACTGAAGCTATTGTTTACGTTCAGACACGAATGAATAGAAAACTAGTACTGCTGAAACTAGGGATACCAGGAAAACGTGCCATGATAATACTAGCATGTTCCGTATTGTTTACTCCGCCATCAGCATAACCGCGGGCTGTTTGCGTGCCGGCGGGAAGCCGTTCCACTTTCTCGGGGGCAATGCTTGCTTAAGAGGGGGACATGGGGGTTTAAGGTATTGCGGTATTGAGCTTTTTTCAAGCGGTATTTCGGTGATTTTGATTTTCATCTGCGGTATTGCTGTATCATCTTGCCCTGCGGTATGCGGTTTTTCATCCTTTTGGGGTAACGGTATTCGATAAAACAAGATCCTTCACGGTATTGCGGTACTGTTCATTTTCGCTCTCCTGTCTAAAGCAGGTCAATATTTAAAAAAAAAAAATGGTAGGGAATCCAAGATCATCTAATGACCGGGATTTTTAGATGGTTGTACCGATCAGTTTGAGGTCTTCTCACGTTGTTTCGCAATCGCTGAGGTTGATTGATGGTGCATACATGCTTGCGATAAGCAGACACGCGGAATTGTTATAACTTTAAGTAAGCGTGAACGATCATAATCGCGGTATCGGTATTTCGTCGATTTTCAACACGGTATTTCGGTATTTGCCAATTTTTCTAACGGTATTGCGATGTTGGGTACCCCCAATTCCCCCCTTTAAGTGAAAAGCCTATGCAGGAATGTATGTTGTGGATCAATCAGTTTGTCCCTGGTTTAAATGGGTTCTTCCCTTGTTTGAGTGCCAAGGTTACGTAACATAATGAGTTTATGAAACAAAGAAAAAACTAAAAACCAAGGGTTAAATTTAAACTACGATATGTACATGAGTCATGTCACTCCTGCTCAAAACCACGAAAGCCGAGAAGGGTCTTCCAACTTCCGACTTCCAACTTCCAACTATTCTTTAACGGAAACCTGCGACAACTTTTTTTGTTCAAAAAAAAAGAAACCTTTAAAAATATGTTTTCCTGAGCGGTCTGTGACAGAGACGGGCGATACTTAATTATATCAGTCAAGAACGCCAACTAAAATTAAAAAACTGAATCTTACGCCGTCGTTTATTAATTGAACTTGTTTGAATTGGAAAATTCACGATTTCATGCCACTTATAGCTGATGTTGGATCAAACCTACATGATCATAAAAATTCTCCAGCTCCACTCAGCAGCTACAGTTTAGACTTCCGCACTGTACATGGACCGGAGGTTACTGGTTACGGCTGGCTGGCAACATTGCTGCAGTTAGATTACACATGACTTGACACGTGAGCCGAGTAGTATGTTGAATACAATCACAACTGAACTTTTTGTTTTCAATGGAGAAACAAAAGATTCAGCCTAAATATATCGGAGAGAAAGAGACTGGAAGATATTTGCACGACGATGGCAAGGAAGGTGCATTTAATACGACCTTTTGCCAAAAGGCCTGGTTTCGTCAGAGTTTCTTTCAGTAATAATTGTCAGTTATTCTTTATTATAATTTAAGACTGGTAAATGACTGTAACAATACATACATCTATTTGGAAAATAGCCCTTGGTTGCCGTTCAGATCTCCACTCAGTCGAAAAGCTTAACGTTGCTTCCAATATTTTGGACATGCATTTTGATTTTAGGGACTGTTAATACTTCCTTGTTCGCTTAAGTGTCAAGGTCAGGGCGTTTGCTGAAAGAGATTACTTTGCTTGCCACTTGTAATTTAGAGACACTAATTAGAAAATGCTTTTTTAACGTCATTGCAGAAATCATCTCTGCTATCGGGTGCTTTTGGATTTGTTTCCGCAGTGATAAATTCATCTGAATTTAAGTGTCGTGAGCCCCTTAAGCCTTAAGGCAAGACGGTCTTGGTTTCGGTTGGGTTTTTAAATATATTAAATTTCGGTGCTTTATAATGAAAGAGAGAACCATCTAATTCACTTTAAATTAAAACCCCATTACCAGTTCAATTATGGCCTAGCTGAACGTGAGTGAGTCAGGTTTTCCTTTCAATGAACTGACAGTAACAGTCTAACAGCGTCTATGTCCCCCGTTGTTCGTGTTCCGCGGCTCCGAAGGTTGCGTCACACTGTAGGCTATTGTACAAGCCATACAGAATTCAACCAATTAACCGAAATTAACCTGAGTGTATGGAAAAACCACCATGGCCAAGGAGACGGAGTTTTAACTTTACTATAGAAACTGTAAACGCCGAACATGTCCACAACAACAAAAACCCAGAATACTTGTTGCAATCGAAATTTTTGCAACTTTCGAGGTTCTCTCTCGCCTCGCCGTCCGTCCGTCCTTGAAGTACTTTGTCCGATCTCGATATCCTCTAGTTGCTTCTGTACATTCCCATCGCGATGAATGAGTTTCAATCCACTGTAAATGAAACTCGCTGACAATAGAGACAGATAATGAAGAAAGCCTGACAAAAGATCTGGGACGGTGCTAGACTTGGTTTAAGGCTACTTGCAACTTTCGCCATTATTTCCAGAGCGAAATGCGATCAGTTATAACACCACCAACAAAGCGTGCACTTTAAAGCTTTTTAGACCCTAGTTTAATCTTGGTGACTTCCCGGCAAAGCCAGATGGATCAAACAAAACGAAGACGTCAAAGAAGGAAAGGCTATACCGTAAACAAGTCTTGAAAGCCGCCTGGGTATTCAGAACACCGTTTTCTCCAGACGAGTAGGGATCAACAAATAAGGACAATTTGTGCGTTGTTCCTAAAATAGCAAGCAAAACGTTTACGCCTAAAAAAAATGGCCTTCGTCCAAACCCCTTTCTCGCTTGAATTTGCGCTAAAACAAAGACAGAGTGCACCGCTAAAACGCCGAATAGGAAACCAAACCCAGTCCAGTGGAACTGCCATGAAAGTCCCAACAGTTGCTTCGCCTCTTGCCAGTAGGATGGGCCTGGTTCGCTGTCTGCGGCCGGAGGTTCGTGAACAGGTAAATTGTCAGTTGTTAGTGAGCTCGGCAATTTAGAAACAAGTCAAGTCAAGTCAAGTCAATCTTTATTTAAACACGGTAAAATCCATCAGGAATTTAAAAAATTAAAAATAACCTAACTATCCTAAACAAAATTCAAAACCTGACTACAACTAATCTAACTAAAACCTGTTTTTCATGAATGCCGTGTATAACATTAAAAATGAACATTAACTAATCTTTTAAATTGACTAAGAGATTCGGCTTCTCTCACATGACAGGGTAGGCTGTTCCAGAGAACTGCTCCGCTATAAGTAAAGCTGTTTTTCATGAAATTAGTTCGCGGAAATGGGACAAATAGTTTGTTAACAGAGTCCCTCAGGGAGTAACGCGTTTCATTTCGTTTAACAAACTTAGATGATAAATATTCAGGAACAAGGCCATTTAAAGACCTGTATACCATTATGGATTTCTGTATTTGAAATTGAGTGCTCAAGTCTTTCCAATCGAGTTGTCTAATCAAACGGTTAGCATCAGCATCATAGCTAGAGAAGGTTAAAACGCGAGCGGCACGGTTCTGAAGCTTCTGTAGCCTGTCAAATAATGTTTTACCACAATTACCCCAGACAAGATTGCAATAATCGAAATGAGATTGAATTAGTGAGTTGTATATATAGTGAAGGGTAGGTGGAGGGACAAAAGGTCTAATTCTTTTTATTGCTCCAATTCCGGAAGCGACCTTTTTAGATAATTTATCAATGTGTGTTTGCCACCGTAGATTTTCATCAATAAATATTCCAAGCGATTTGACAGAGGAAACGTGTTCTATCGGAACATTATTAATCGAGAGCTCAAGTGGGTTCGACAAAGTACTCAATTTTTGTCTGGAGCCAATTAGCATGAATTCAGTTTTAGAAGTGTTCAAAGTAAGTTTATTGGAAATAAGCCATTTGTTTAGGTTATCTAAATCGTGACTCAGAGTTAACTGTATTGAATTCACATCAACGCCAGCATAAGTAATGTGGGTGTCATCGGCATACATTCTAGGCTGGCACGAAGTAAGGCAGTTTGGCAAGTCATTAATATAAATAAGAAATAAAAAGGGGCCAAGGATTGTTCCTTGCGGTACCCCACATTTAAGAGAGCAGATTCTAGAAAGAGAACCGTTAACAAGACATCGTTGTGTACGATTAGTTAAATACGACCTAAACCAATCAAGAGCTGTACCTTGTATTCCGTAAAGGTTCATTTTAGCTAGAAGGATATCGTGGTCAACGGTGTCGAAAGCCTTTTTAAATCGAGGAAAACCACAGCATTAACATTGCCACGATCAATATTAAAGGCCCAATTATCCGTAGCTTCCAGAAGGGCAGTTGCAGTTGAGTGTAACGAGCGAAAACCCGATTGATGATTAGAAATGATATCTTCATTGGTCAAAAGTTATACAACTGATCATAAACAATCCTTTCAAACACTTTAGCTATAACGGAAATGACTGAAATAGGTCGATAATTATTCAGATCAGATGGCTCACCTTCCTTGAACAACGGAGTAACTCTAGCACATTTCCAATCATCAGGAAATATACCAGAGACTAAAGATTTATTAAAGAGATCACATAGTGAAACTGAAATAAGATCAGCACATTCACGTACAATTTTAGCAGAAATATTATCAAGACCAGTTGCTTTAGATCTACATAATTTGTTTAGATGTGAGAAAACAATGCTGCAGTTAGTCGAGGAGAAGCTGAAATTGTTGTTATTTACCTTTATATTATTGATATAACTTGAATTATTTTCAGCAGTTAGAGGTATTTCATTAGCAAGTCTGGGCCCAATTGCTGAAAAATGGTCATTAAAAGCATCAGAAAGCTCACTAGAATTAGAGATAATGGTATCATTCAATTTCAGTTCTTTCACCGTTGTATTATTCACACGACGGGATGTAAGCTCATTAAAGGTTTGCCACGTTTTTCGAGGATTACCCTTAGATTGAATAAATGCATTAGAATAATAAGATGCTTTAGAAATTTTGATGTCATTGTTTATTATATTTCGCAACTTTTTGTACCTTTTCCAATCGTGTGGATCATTCGATGTAATTGCTTTTCTTTTGGCAGCATCACGATCACGCATGCCTTTCTTTAATTCTGAATTGATCCAGGGTGCTTTATTTGTTCTAGTACGTCTAGTTCGGAGTGGCGCATGAATATTAACAATATCCAAAAACTTCGTTTTCCAGTCAGTCCACAAAACATTTGGATCTTCAGAAACATTACAGGACCAGTCTTGCTGAGCGATACCGTTACGAAAACTCTCTCTATTAAAATTTTGGAAATTTCTATAAGAAATGGTTGAGTGCCCTTTTGAAGGAAAAGTGAGAGATAATTTCCTATAAACGTAAATAAGGCTATGATCGCTGATACCAATATGAGAGACTCCGGAACAGACTACCCTGTCAGTATAGTTTGTATAAATTAAATCAATTAATGTTGAAGAGGATTCCGTTATGCGAGTAGGTTCAGTTATAAGCTGTTGAAGCCCAAATAAATCAGAAATTTCACATAAGCGTCGAGTATTTAAATCATATTGTGCAGAGGCCAGGTTACAGTTTAAATCACCTAGCAGATAATATTCTAGGCCGAGGGAATCTAATTTCTCAAGAAATGATTCGTAATGTAAAAATAAATCAATTGAGGAGCAAGGAGGTCTGTACCAAGTGGCTATCAGAAATGGCCTGGAGTTTGGTTTCCGAATCTCTATACATAAATTTTCAAGACTGGGTGCATTCAAATCAGAGCGAACTCCAAAATTAATCGAGGTTTTTATATAAAAACCTACTCCTCCTCCTTGTCTGTTTCTATCACGACGAATAAATTCATAGCCTGGTATTTGGACCTCACAACTATTGATAGAGTCATCAAGTTTAGTTTCATTAATTGAGAGAATATCAATGGAGCGATCGGCAAGGAGAATTCTTAGTTCATCAATATGCTTTGTAAGACTATTAATGTTTAAACCTGCAATTTTAAAACCACGACCAGAAGGAAGAAAATCAGAGAGAATTGTACATTCAAATGAATCAACGTTTTGATTAGGAATACCTGATGATACCTCACTCGGTTGAGAAGCTAGCGTGGGCGTCTCCTGTTGCGAGCTGGAGAGGGAAGGTTTCCCAGTTCCATCAGAAGCTTTACCAGTTGTTGGATAGCTGAGGACTGAAAACCCTTAAGAGACTGATTATACTTGCCAGAACCAGATCTTAAAAACTTAATAAATTGCACGGCCAGCAATGACGAACCTTTGGCATTCAGATGAAGTCTACTACCATTTAATGCTGAGGCGTCAATAACCGAATTATCAATATAAGTAAAGTTATCATCTACTGCTGTGAGCTTGACCCTCTCATTAACTTCAATGCGTTTAGCATCGACGTTGATATCTTCTCTGTAGACTATACCCGAGAGACCAATGCTTGAGTTAGGAAACTTGCTCTTCACCTTCAATACAAGGCTCTTGATATCGGCGACACATGAATCGGCAGACTCCGATGGAAGATTGTTGGTGCCAGTATGGATGATGACGTGAGAAGGATCCGCGGATGCAACAGCGATGTTGTCAACAGCTTCAGCTATTTCAGCAGTGGTTTTCCCGGGATATGAGAATTTATGTACATGTCTTTGCGAAAGCTTTTTTGGATCAATGTGTTTTATCATTGAGTCACCAATAAGCACTATGGGTCTTGTCTTTCCGACTTCACCGCTTTTGGAGTTATTTGCACTAACTCGAGAGGTATTTGCGTGCGCTCCAGACTGATGCAGTGGCATCTCAGAGGATACTTGACTCGAAGGAGAAGAGACAAGTAAGGCCTGATAGCGGTTATGACTAGTTGGAATTGAATCAAATGCCCGGCTCGCTTCAGATGAATCAACATGTGAATGTTGCTGTTGCTGTTGTTGGCGACTTTCTTCGTTATTTGCAGTATAGTTGTCCTCATTTCTCACTTGGAATTGTACCTCACTTCTAAGGGGCTCAAATCTGTTCTGAGTTTCTATATTGCAGGCCGCCAACGGCCGCTGGATATGTTTATCATTCACACTTTTCCCAAGTGTGCCCACTTGGGACCAACAATCACATATCTTTTGTTGGCGGCATTCGCCCTCGCTTCTTTCTTGCATAATGATCTTCATAGCCAGCTTAAGAGAATCATTTTCTTGTTGCAAGGACAAAACTTGGCTCTCATAGGAAAAACACTTTTCCTCCAACACCTCAATTTCATTATCTTTTTTAGATAATGTCGATAACACCTTCTCATACCTCTCTTTGTAATCGAGGAGCTCGGCGCTAAAAGGGGTTTCTTGTAATTTGCATTTCGTCGACAGAAGGCTTGTATTTGCTTCAACCTTTTTCTGAAGAATTAGTAAATCCAGTTTTAAGCCCTCAATATCAGCACTGATAACCGAGTTCGATCGCTCTTGAATACTGTTCTCAAGTCCGGCGTCGGCGGCCGAAGCTAGTCGATTACTGCAGATGCCATTGGCTTCTTGCGAAGGCGGAATTTCTTGCTCGGTTGTTGAAGCATCCGAGACAGGCGTATCAGCTTCTGTTCCCTGTTTATTTTGAATAAACTTGACCAACTTGTCCTTTAAGGAGGGACCATCTCGACCTTGGAAACAAAGGGTTAGCTGTTTCTTATTATACCAGTTGATGACGAGATTATTGTTAGAACTTTTGAATTGCTTTACGTTTCCTCCGGGCGACGACCACTTTCCTTGTAGTTTCAAGCCATTTTCCACAAAATTCTTTAACGATTCAAGGTTATTCGTCCACGTTAATCGTTCCCCGTTTAGCTTAAGGGATTGTAATTCGCACCATTTAAGGTTAAGCTGGTAAGACTCGGTATCTTTCGTCAAAACGGGACCAGAAGGTTCACGTCCGTCCGCCATGGTTCACGCCAGCTAATCTATATGCCCGTAAATAGACAGACTGTAAACAGACTGTATACGTATAAACAGACTGTATAAACAGACTGTAGACTCTATAAACAGACTGTAGACTCTATAAACAGACTGTAAACGTTGCCCGTTATTTAACTTTGCGCGCGTTAACTGCGCCGTTAAATTTGTCGACCACAGAGTCGTCTGAAACGTACTTTATCTGCTCTGGATGTGGTAAATTGTTCGTTTACCGGACAACATTAGTGTTTACATATATTAGGTATCATTATGTTCATCTAGGTTTTTTAAAATTTCGTGATATTGTTAAAATTTACAATTGCTTGTTTTTATACGATTATGCCTCTGAAAATAAGCCGTGTAATTTTCCATCAACCTCGTTCCCAGGGTTCTCTCCTACCCGCCCTATGGATAGGGCGGGTAGGAGAGAACCCTCGGAACGAGGTTGATTTTCATTATTTCTTGTATCTGAGCAACATAATTATTTTACATGAAGTGCATCTGCTCAGCAATTACACATTCCCCACTCAAGAATTAGTATTCGAAAGTTTTGCCTCACCGTCATTGGAAAATAATATTGGAACGATCTCCCTCTTTCTATTCGCAATAAATCATCGAAAATCCTGTTCAAAAAAGCACTTAAGAAATCTTTGACTGTGCTCGTGTGTGTGTGCGTGGGTGCGTGTTTGTGTTTTAATGAATAACAAACTACAAAAGAATAAAGTCAATCTTGTTAAAGGGCCATGATTAGTTTTACTATAATGTGCCCTTCTATTATGTACACGTAGTTTTAAGCAACTTTGTACCAGTTGATATTGTACAACTATTGTATTATTGTACAACTAATGTATTGTAGAATGGAGTAAAAATGAAATAAAATAAAAGTATACAGAGCAAGACTAAATATTGCTTGTTCACATTTGTTTGTTTTCTGTTGCATGGTGCGATTTCGTGGGGTTTTGACTAAATCTGTAAAAAGAACGTGACAAAAAAAGAAATAGAAAACTACAAAGAAGATCCAAAGACTATGACTTTCATGCGCTTGAGCCGAGCGGACTCTACCTCAAACGCTGAATTAAAATATGCGGACTGAAAAAGGATGGCTAAGGTAAGAGACGGCGACATATTAAACCAAAAAAAAAGTGAATAAACAATGCCCTTGTTATATAGCTTTATACGATCCGCTGAATTCATCTGCGCATGGCATGCTAAATACTGAACTTCTACTGAAATTCTTCACGCCAGTTCAATAAGATGATATGTTTTGTGTGTGTACATAAATTGTATACACATGTTGTGCCTGACTACTTAAGCATCTTGGTGTTATCTCAGGTAATTTTGTCACGTCCACTGCTGTATCTGTTTGTCTACTGCATATTAGCCCTCTCACTCGTCATAAATGTGGTTTGAAATAAGAAATTTCATTCATTATAACCATTTACTGTGATTAGTTTTAAACTTTAAGGTGCGTTTTTCTTCCGCACAAGATACCAATTCACGCTTAATCATGCTCTGCTCGTTAATAAACAAGTTTGCTGGGCAGTGTGAGAGCTCATTGGGGTTTAGTCCAACATGCCCGCAGACTCCCAGATCTCTAAATACAATGGTTTAACTCTTGGCCCACTCAGGTATTGTACATCTTTACTTGCTAAACTTAACCGATTGCAAAAATTAACCCATGTTGCGCGATGCCCTATGAAAATGATAAATCTACACCTTGTTACGGACGAGGCTCGGTGATAGCAGTTACTAAATTGAGCCACAGTCAGAGGTCAAGCGTTATTGGAGATATTCTCTCTTATATTTAGATTCAGAATTAGGGTCAAGAGGCAAGAATCGGTAATTTATTCAAGTTTTTGCTTGGTTTGTAACTTAACTTTTTGGTGCTGAGACAAAAGCTTCGTACAACGACTCTTAAATTGTAGTTATGGGGTAGAACTGAGAATACATGTAATCAAAGTTATCACAGTTTGATGTTTTGGGAGCCGGCTGCAAGATCCATTTCATCTTAGTGAAAATTAAAGCACCCTCCAAAGTTCACGTTTGGTCACTTTATACCAGGCTGTAACTTTTATATTCTCAGTTTTGGGACAAGTTTTCCGGGTTTCACAGGTTGCGTCACACTGTAGGCTAGTGCACAAGCCATACCGAATTCAACCAGCCGAAAACACGTTTGAAACACCCACCATGGCCAAGGAGACGGATTAACAACTTTACTATACAATCCATAAACACCGAACATTGAATAAATCTGCAGTCCACAACAAACAAATCCCAAAACACTCGTTACAAGAGTTACTTTGGCAACTTTTGATGTTTTCCTTGGTCTTTTAG